TCATAGTTCTCACATGGAAACAGTCTAATTTTGTTGCTTTTTACAAAATGAAGATTACTACTTCATTAAAATTAAAGTGTTTATATCTTTATCCCATATCACATAATTAACCCATAAGGACATATTTTATCTTCAAATCATTCAGAAAGAATGTGATTCTTTAAGGACATAATCTTATACACAAATATTTAAGTATTAAAATGAGCAAGGAGATGGCAAGCCTATGAACTAACTTGTCCTAATAACTTAGGTCAGAAAGTTGAAATGAGTAGTGGTTACCTACTCCAAATAGTAAAAATAAAAGCAATAGGGGCCTTCCTACCTGCATCCCAATACAGCAGCTCAGAGAAGCTCAAGGACTGTAACACTAAGATTCATTAGAAAACCTTTGTAGTTCACCTACCATGGTTATAGACATTTGCTATGAAAGGGAAAAAAGGAAGGACATGGTTGTAACAATATGAAGACTGTTCCCTCAGGTTTAAGCCTAAAGCACAGACTGACCTATCATAAATATAACAGGATAAACTTTTTTGGGTTTTTTGGGTTTTTTTGCTGATTTTTGGTTCATAGCAGCATTTTGGAACAGCCAATCATGCAAGTTTCACATTATTCATAGGGTATCATAGCCAGGCTCCCACATGACCAGGTGGGAAATTTTGCTATTCAGAAAGAAAAGAGCCACAGTGGGGAAACTGAGTCTAGAAAATCCTGCCATTACCTTCATAAGGCTGTCTTTTCTCAGTCTTCCCAGGCACTTACATCCACCTGTAGCATTTCTCAGAACACATACCCTTTCAGCTGTTCATGGCATTTCCTCTGAATGGTACAATAATTCAGTTGAATTAGCAATAATTCAAAGTTATACCTGAATTCAAAACTCAGAGCAAATCCAATTATACTCCCAAGAAGTTAACTCCTTTAACATAGAAAATTCCACTATTCACAATTTAAGGGAAGATACAGTTGTTTTCTTGTTCTTGCAATATTTGGTTATAATAAATAATTTAAAAAATTGATCCTCAGTATTCACCAAGTACATACAAGGTATTTTTTTTAAAAAAACTTTAATTCATTTCTGTGTATGTATATATTCAGATATTCTGATGTCACAACCAAGTAGTTAAAGATTAAGAAAATAATCATATTCTAGGGATTTATACAAAAATTGGATGTTTGATATAGTTCACTCAAATTTGAGAAAGACAGTGACTTCTGTCAGTTTGGATATCTTAGGGTATCATATATTAACTTCTAAGGCAAAAAGAAAAATATTCTCACTGGGATCTATACTATGTTGGCTCAAACACATAACTTCAATGCATATTTTCCAGGTATAATTTTATCTAGTTTAACTGTTTTCATAAATTTCATAATTAGTAATCCAATTTACTATTTTAGAATTTGCAAAGTTCTCATTTGTCATGTATGTTCTTTCAGCTCCTTCTTCCACGGAGCTGATAAAATTTTATGATCTTGCCTAAGTAGAAGATCCAAAGGACCTGGCAAGTCCTTAAAGAATTTCATAGATAAGAATTTACAAGGTTTTTAGGTTTTGCCAAATTCTAAATAATTACCATCATTATTCATTTTTTAAGCAAAATATAACCAAGGAAATAGACAAGATTTTGTTGTGTGTGTTTGTGCGTTTTTACCATAATAATATGTGATAGCTCAAATTCATCATTTCATGGCATTCAGATCAAAGGAGGAGCTAATCTCCTAATAATACAAGTGTGTAAGTAAGTACGCTCAAATTAACAGCATTTCTTATGTGGTTTCCTAAAATCACAATGCAAAAAATTAGGAACATAATTTTAAAAAATATTATGGACTTAAAAACATGAAACAAAACATTGCAAGTCAGATGACATCAACTCAGTTGAATGCATTCTGAATTATCTTATCTTACAAAGAAAACCATTTCATCTATCAATTTTGGCATTCTATGTTAGTTGCATTCAGAGATCAGTATAGAGTAATTAAAACTGAACTGCCCTTATATTACAAAGATGGCATCAGTAATTACCATTCAGAACACAGTTCATGTTGAAAATAGTAATTTCCCCGGATTTATCAAAAGGTAATATAAATAAAAATTTTTAAGTGCTCAATTTTAAATGTTGCCACGATTCTAGCTACTTTTCTACATGAACAAATTGATGAAATAAAGCTTGGCAATCATAAGAAATCTCAAAATTAACTTTTAACTCTCTAAGAGGAAATAAGCACTTCTCCAGACGTAACAATCATTTTACAGGCATTGAGATCTTCCTATTCTCCTCTAATTGAGACGAGCTGTAAGATTTAACTTAAACTTCTCTATAATACTTTATTACCTTCCTGGCTTTTCTTTTGACTCTTCTGGACATTTTGGTAGCAGGCAAAGATAAGGACTCTGTACTTTGCCAACTTGGGTAAAGAAAATCACTAGTTTTATATTCCTGCTCTTTGAGAAATCTTAACTCTCAATTCTCATTGCCTTCTAATTAAGCTTTATATCCACACTGTCTAAGTGCAAATGGTCTCCAAACATCCTTTAACTTTCTGTTCCCTTCAAAACTGAACCTTCATTTCCAAACTGATTCAACCCTTCACTTTCTTTCTCTACTTTCTCAGTTCCTCATATCTTTTATTTCCCAATCACATCCCACTCTATCCACAAAACTAGTTTTCTTTATGCCACCAAAATCTCTCTAAATTAGCCCAAGTTTTGTTATACAATTCCAATTAACTGCAAAACTTTTACTTTTTCTTTGATCAAAATTAAAGCTTTAAGGTTTACAGATAGTTCCTTATTTTCTCAGGTAAAACATTTCCAATTTGCTTCTTTAAGGGCTTGCAAATGCAGTCAATTCTAATTTCTTTTTAAGCTGACTCTGCTTCTAATTTACTTAGGCAATTAAACTTTATTAAGTCATTCACAGAACACAGAGGTAAAATGAAAACTTTCCCTTAAGATGAAATTTTGAGGATTTAAACAAACCTTTCTTTCCAATTTGTATAGAAGAGTTAATAATTGCACTATGTGGTTCTTAAACACCAGATACTTAGAAACTGCAGACTTCAGAACCATGTTTCTTTACCTATTTTCTTTTATTTTTTACTGTGTAAGGCTTTCTTAGCTTTCTCTAGTCAGTGAAATCATCTTCTACTCTTACCTTAAAACAATAAATATGTCACACTTCAAGGAAGAGAGAGGGTAGTAAAAAAGGTGAAGCGCTATTTGCATGTGATTTTCACAAAGTTTTCTTTTTCTCTTTTTTTTTTTTTAATAGAGAGCATCAACCCCCAAAACTCATGAGGTTATTTCAGCCTTTATAAAAACATCCAAAACACATTCTGGAAATTCACAGTAAAGAAATTACAGTCACAAATTTAGTCTCTAATTAGTTTTCAATACCATAAATTTATGTAAATGGGGAAAGGATTTTAATCCCTCTTATCAATCTCTTTCTGTGCATTCCCAACCTGGCTAGAATTAATACAGAATTAATCTTTTGAAAGATTTGAAATTTGTGGCATAAAGTTCTCATTCCCTCCTTCCCACACCTTATTTTCTACGGAAAGGTTACTGGGAATGGGACAGTTTAACACTGTAACTGGCTGGGTATCTTGGATGAAAAGGGCATATCTTCTGCCAGTGCCAGAGGTGATGGCAGTAGTAACAGACAATACATTGTTCCCTTTACATCCTACAAGATAGCAGTCTTGGCCAGAATTCTACTGCAAGGTGGCTAAAAGTTGCACTTGGTGATCTTCCTGCATCTTGGTCTTTACCTTTCTCTCTTCTCATCCCATTCACTGAAGATAAAAGTTATCGGCAAGAGGATTTCAGAGAGAGGTTTTTATTGCCTTTGAAGGGCAAGGTTGTAAAAGGCAACGTTACTGTCCCTTAAAAGAATAGGGTACTGTCTCTGGGTAGCTGGTATCTCCAGAGAGGGAGTATCTGAGACAAGTGGTGGAGCACTAGCTGGAAAATGTGACAAAGAATGCCAGCATCCATCGTCTGGCAAAGCCTCATGAGGAGGTAGCACTCTCTTTCCCCAAGAGAAAGATTCATTAACTTCACAATTTGCTTGGCAAAATTTATGCACTTCAAAATCTACCCAAATAAATCAATAGCTCATTTGTTTTGGGAAATGGACCTCTATTTTTTTCCTCTAGAATTTATAAGGTTTCATGATCATGTTCATGAAATCATAATCAAAATCATTTCATGATCATAATGGCCAGGGTCTTTATGTATTAAGATTAAGTATAGGATGGTCATTTAGTTTAACAAAGGACAAATTCACTTAGACACTAGCCCTTCCTAGAATTTTTTTCCCAATTCATCAAAATGGATCTGAAGATTCTGTTCTAGAAAAGAAATACCAAGCAGATGCCATATGATGACTGATTACTCAAGGCCAAATTGAGGCTTTTATCAGCTTTATATCATTAATATTTGGGATTCCCCCCCCCCAACTTGAGTTTATGGTTAGACAACCTATTTGACCTCCACCAGAATTTCCTCTGGTTCTGCACTACCAAGGTATAGTTTTTCCAAAGGCTCCTTGGTATCTTAGTGCCAGATACCAGATCAGAATAAAAATTTAACAAAGAATTCAGATAGGAAGGTTGGCCAAGACACTGAGTGAGCACGAACGACACAAAACCAGACCACACGATACAAAAATACATAAAACATTCACTTGTCTCTGTAGATCTCATGATTTGGAGCACAAAAGTGTTAGGCTGTGCCTTTATCAGCCCTCCCAGTTCCCCATCTCTAGAAGTTCCTGAATTGGTGAACTCACTGGTATGTGGTTGGAAAGTTCTTGGAGATGGGGATCTGTAAAGATTGAAGTAGCCAGTATCAGACCATGTTGCCAAAATTGTGGCATGAATTTTCTTATCAGTTTGAATAGCCTTTGCCAATATGCCAGCACGAATCAGAGAAACAGGTTTTATCATACACTCAGAGAGCAACACACTCCACCAGCAGTTGGTGCAAATATGTCTTTCACATTATTTATACATTACATGAAACAAAGGAAAAAAGAAAACAGATGGCTGTTCATTAAAATGCAACTGGTGTTACAAAGAAAAACATGGACTTTTCAAAGAAAGTGTATACGATTAGCTACAGGAGACTGAGAAGGGATGTGCCCTTTTTAGCACAGCTAATTTCACTCAGTCAAAGGGAACTACCTGTCAGGCTAGATAAGGGAGGGAAGACATTCCAGAGACTGCTGAATCCTCCTTTTTCAGCAATCAAGTCTTTTTTGTACCAATTAGAGGATGAAAGAAGAAGTTGAAGAGAACCAACTATAGCAGCTGGTCCTTCAGTTCATGCAGGGTTCCTACATAGAAAAATGGCCAACACAGAACAAAAGGAGTCAGTTATGTTCTCCAAAAAATTCACTTTCAAGAATTCTCTTATGGTAATTAAAGGGTGATCGATGTTTAAAGCCCTTCCCACATGGATTACAATTACAGGACTTCTCTCCAGTATTTTTCTGGTATTCTCTATTGTGTACACTTTGTTGGAAGAGCTTCCCATAATTCCTTATAAAGTTTCTCTGAGCTTAAAAGGAATACTTTCCCACATCCACTACTTTTGTAAGTCTTTCCAGGACAAACATCTTGATGCCAAAGTGTATACTCCAGTTGAAGGCTTTCCAACATTATTACACGAACATTTCCTTCTGCTACAAAGTGTCCGGGGAATAAATCAGCAATTCACTGTATTAAAAAGCTTTTCTATATTCATTATGGTCATAAAGTTTCTCTTCAGTATGCTTTTTCTGGTGGGAAGTGAGCTGTGTTCGGAGAATGAAGCCCTTTCCACATTCACTACATATATAAGGTTTCTCTCCAGTGTGAATTCTCTGGTGGTAAAGAAAGGATGAATTATGTCTAAAAGATTTCCCACATTCATTACATTCATAAGGCTTTTCCCCAGTATGAACTCTCTGGTGGTTGGTAAGGGATGAACCAGAGCTGAAAGCTTTCCCACATTCGTTACATTCATACGGTTTCTCTCCAGTATGGATCCTCTGGTGGAAGGTAAGATGTGTGCTGTGGACAAAGGCTTTCCCACATTCATTACACTCATAAGGCTTTTCTCCAGTATGAATTCTCTGATGGGAAGTAAGCTGTGTGTTCACTCTGAAGGCCTGCCCACATTCATTACATACATAAGGTTTCTCTCCAGTATGAATTCTCTGGTGGTAAATAAGAGATGAGTTGGAGCTAAAAACTTTCCCACAATCTCTACATTCATAAGGTTTCTCTCCAGTATGAATTTTCTGGTGGGAAGTAAGATGTGCACTCTGGATGAAAGCCTTTCCACATTCATTACACTTATAAGGTTTCTCTCCAGTATGAATTCTCCGGTGGTAAGTAAGGGATGTACTAGAACTGAAAGCTTTTCCACATTCATTACATTCATAAGGTTTCTCTCCAGTATGAATTTTTTGGTGGGAAACAAGATGTGCACTCTGCATGAAGGCCTTCCCACATTCATTACATTCATAAGGTTTTTCACCAGTATGAATTCTCTTATGGAAAGTAAGCTGTGTGCTCTGATTGAAGGTTTTCCCACATTCATCACATTCATAAGGTTTCTCTCCTGTGTGAATTCTTTGATGGGAATTAAGCTGTGTGTTCCCTCTGAAGACTTTCCCACACTCATAACATTCATAAGGTTTCTCTCCAGTATGAATTTTCTGGTGGTATGTAAAGGATGAATTGTATCTAAAAGTTTTTCCACATTCATTACATTCGTAAGGTTTCCCTCCTGTATGAATTCGCTGGTGGGAATTAAGCTGTGTTCGAAGAATGAAAGCTTTTCCACATTCATCACATTTATGAGGTTTCTCTCCAGTATGAATTTTCTGATGGTACATAAGGGATGAGCTGAAGCTAAAAGTTTTGCCACAGTCTTTACACACATGAAGTTTCTCTCTAGGATGGATTTTCTGATGCTCGGTATGGTGTTTACCCTGCATTAAGTCTTTTCCAAACTCATTATAATCACGAGTTTGATTTACATTATATATTATATGATCCTGAAAAAGGTTTGAATTACACTTGAATGATTCCCCACATTCATTGTGCACAGAAGGTTTCTCAGGATCATAATTCCATTCTTCTCCCAACTTGGCACACTGGTAATCATCTTTTGAGTATTGTTCCTGGGATGATTTGTCCATAACAATGTCATCTGAAACAGATTCCTTTGTTTCAGGCTCAGTTTTCCATTCTGAAATGAATAAATTAAATACCAGCATTTAAATGTTTTTAGTGATGACAGTTTATAAAATGCTTTCACATATATTACCTCATTTAATCTTTTCAACAACCCTATGAAGCAAGCTGCAACACACACTGTTACATTGGAAGGCTCAGAGCAAACTTAACTTTGTGAATGACCAAACTGCTAATGAGGGTTGACTACAGGCCTCCATCGCAGATCTTCTGACTAGCTTAGTCCATGGCTCCTTCTATACCACTTAAGTGCTTCTCAAACATTATATAAGGATCAGAAGTCAATGCTGAGAGATATCATAAGAACAGGTATTCAAAGTGAGTAAGTTCCAGTATCCAGATTATATCACAGGGTACTCAAACAACCTGCAAAAATATGTTAATCTCTGAGAAATCATGAAGAAAAAGTATGTTCCTAGAAGAACTGTGACAGATGCCATACCTTTTTAAATGGAGAAAGAGGTAGATTCTGAAAACTACAACTGGCAAGAGGTAGCACTGAATTTGAAATCAGGACAAGTCACTAAACTCTAGGTGCAGTTTTCTAATCTACCAAATAGGGATGCCAACAGCTGTAGGGATGTTGTAAAGATTAAATAAGATAAAGTACTTAGACTGCTTTGTAGAACCCAAAGAGCTATATAGAAGTCACTTACCCTTTTGATGTTAATGTCTGATCAAATCAGAGCACATATTTTGTAAGTAATCAAAAGGCAAAAAATTCAAACCATGCCAACTATCCCTCCTTTCTTTACTGATGAGAATTCATCCTACTCTATTAGAAGGATGATTAGAAGTCATCATGGAATTAGATTTTAATGACATATCTGACAAAAATCTTTTAGGTTATCCTTGTTGATGCAAAGAGTGGTCATAAAATACATTTCAGTTATGAGATCTCTGACTGACTGAAATACCACGTATAACAGAATCAAATTACTAGATAGATATTAACCTGCAAAGAAGTAGCTATTGCCACATATACAATAGGTTATATACTTCACTCTCTTCCATAATTTTACTGAATTTCAAAACAAGGAAGATGTGTTAATCATATCTATTGCCAACACAAAGCTATGAAGGACAGCTAATAATGACATAATTCAGATTTAAGAACCTAAAGGAGATGGAATTATTTGCCAAATATCTTCAAGTGCTTCAAGGATGTGTGTGTACTTGCTCCATGGACATAGATTACAACCCCTCTACTGTTTGGTATTTCACCTTCTAGGATTTCTGTGGCCCCAAAATTCATTCACTCCATGGATAACCTGGTGCAGATGCTTATCGAAGTTGCTAGGAAAGCCATATCAACAATGGTCAAGACTAGACACCAGAAGATCTTCAAGCTTAGCAGGACCCACCACAACTTACCCTCCCCTGGCATAGGCTAAGGGGGCCAAAGACCACTTTCATATCCTGAACAAGTATTGGTATACGACTTCAGTGGAGAAACCCAAGAAGCAGGATATGAAATTTAACAGGGATCAATCTTAAAGACCACAGTTATTTAATGTTCAAAGATTCATTCACACCATTTCAAGTCGGGGTAAAACCTGTTGGAAGACAGCTCAAGTGAATAAATATCTGGTGGTCTGATATAATAAAAAGCACAACATGCAACACTAGATAAATTTGCTTTATTATTATTATTATTTTGAAATGGGGGGGTAGAGTGGAGGAGGAAGTAGAAAGATGGTCAATAATCAGGATACCAAAACTTGAAGATTGGGTAAAAGCCCTGAGAATGTTTATCACGGAGAAAACTTCAAATAAGATGTGCTTGTTGTTTTAAAATATTTGAAGTATTATCAACTGGTATGATGAAACTAACAGAAGCAGGAATTGGAAAAGGAATTAACAGCTTGGTACAAGAGGTACAAAAACTTGCCCAAGCAACAAACTCCCTGAAAATAAAACCAGACCAAATACAAGACAATGACTTCATGATTCAACAAGAAACATTAAAACAGTCAAAAAACTGAATAAAATACAAGAAAGTATAAGTATCTCACTATAAAAACAACACACCTAAAAAACAGATCAAACATAAAAAAATTTAAGAATCATTAGACTATCTAAGCTCCATGACCAAAAAATGTCTAGACATCATATTTCAAGAAATTTTGAAAGAAAACTGCCCAGATCTCTTAGAACTAGAGGGTAAAGAAAGAAATCTGTTTGTCACCTCCTGAAAGAACCCCCCTCCAAAAAAAAGCTCCCAGGAACATCACAGCCAAAATTCAGAGCCTCTAAATCAAAGAAAAAAAAAACACAAGTAGCCAGAGTGAAAGAATTCAAGTACCAAGGAACCAGAGTGAAAATCACACATTTTAGCAGCCATCACTAAAAAGGAGCAGAGAACTTGGAATATGATACTTCAGATGGCAAAGGATATGGGCTTATAGCCAAGAATAACTTACCTAGCAATACTTACTATAAAGCCATGGGGGGGGCGGCAGGGGGAGGAATGGACCTTTAAAGAAATAGAAGATTTCCAAGCCTTTGGAAGGACCAAAGCTATGGAGAAAATGAGAAGTTCAAACTTGGGAGTGAAGAAAATGAAGAGAAATGTACAAAGGTACTGAATGAATAATGGTAAAGGATTAAGAAAGGATGAACCGATTATAATTAAATATGGGGAGAAAAAATGTGTGTCACCTTTCTGAACAGTATCATTATCAGGGTTCATAGAGGGAGTCCAATTAGGCCAGGCCTGGGAGTGGCTCCATTAGGTCTTGATGTTTTTAATAAAAGGACAGAGATGAAAAGGAATACACTGGGAAAAGGGGAGGAAAAGAACATGAGGAAAATTATCTAATCAGGGTATATAAGTAAACATCTATACAAATGAGGAAGAGTGGGTAGGAGGAGCAGCTGACACTTGAACTTCACTCCATCTGAATTGATCAGAAGAAAGAATACACACACATACATAACAAGGTACAGAAATACATTTTAGTCAACAGGGAAATAGGAGGTAAAGGAAACGAAGGGAAGAGGGGGCATTAGAGGAAGGGTAGATTAAGGTAGGGGGAATTAGTACTAAGGAAAACAAACCAGGGATATGAAAAATATTTAGAACCCTTTCTGAGTTGGTAAGAATTGGGAATCTGTGCGGGTGCCCACAAACTTGGGAAAAGGTGAACAAGTTATGGTATATAGATAGGATTATCTAAATGAGTTTTTTAAAAGCTCGTGAACAAAGCAGCAGCATGGTTTATGGAAAAGGACACAGAATTAAGAATAAGAAGACCTCAAATGTAGTTCTCATACTAAGTAAGTATGAGGCCCTAAATATGTCACTCAGTTTGTCTAAACCTCAAATTCCAACTCTGAAACATGGCAATATTTCCCAGTATAATTTCTCTCACACGTTCTTATGAGGAGAAAATTACATTAAAACTTTGGATGCATTTTGATAGGTGAAAAATCAATGGCATAATCTCATGCTGAAACATAAAGGGCACAATGCACGGGAGCAGAGATAGGGAAAAAACTAGGATATCCAGCACTCCCCAAGAAAGGTACAGCCGATGAATTGTCTGGCTATCTTGATTCCCAAGGGAATGATTCTGTACAAAGCAGAGTTGGAACAAGGCTAGATAGGATACATCTGTGGCCTGCAGAAAGATCCCTACACCTATGGCCAGTAGAAAAATCCCTGCACCTGTACCCCAGAAAGAGACCTCTTCTCTCTCCTATAGCCCTTGTTTTTGTAGCATGTAGAAAGACTTGTATATTTGTAGTCCAGAGAGAGACTCCTATTCCTGCAGCTGAGAGACTGCTACGCCTGTAATCCAGAGAAAGATCCCTATCCCTACACCTGAAATCTGTAGAAAGAATCCTACATGTGTGGCTCATAGAACACTACTACTTCCATTGCGTAGAGAAGACTCCCTGCAGCCCCAGGAAGATTCCTTACACTTTTGGCCCATCAAAAGACCCTATATTTGTGCCCTAAACACCTACTATGATCTACAGACCCCACAGAGACACCCGCACTCAAGGCCCATAGAAAGATTCCAAAGACTTTCAATCACTGAGTCCCTTCCGAGTGAATCCCCGTGGCTAGGAGGTAGTTGCAGCGGGAACCATCACAACAGCTCATGTTCAGGGTGTGCTTTCAGGATCTTGGCTGATAACATGGTGGGCAGAGAATGTGGTCACAGGGCTGGAGGTGCGTGGAAACAAATGTATGAGTCAACGGGACAGAAAAAACCCCACCAATCTGGAGATACAAGCAGCTCAGGAGCACCCCTTGCTAAGGGGACAACCCAATGTTCCAGACAGGACCTCCCATGGGACAAAGCAGAGCCACAGGCTGAGGGAAGAGGCTAAGGAGCTGCCAAAATGCTCCCAGCCAAAAGCATACTGTAATGGCTCAACTTGGCCTATATGAGGTTTTGTTTTGCAAAGAAAACAGAAAGGAAAAAGAGGAAAATCTTTTTAATGTAAGATACCAAGAAGGGTGGAACAAAGATGGCAGAGTAAAAAGCAGTGACTTGCTTCAGCTCTCCCCCAAACCCCTCCAAATGCCTGTAAATAATGGCTCTAAACAAATTCTAGAGCAGCAGAACCCACAAAAAGACAGAGTGAAACAAATTTCCAGCCCAAGACAACCTGGATGGTTGATTGGAAAGGTATATTGCACCATGCTGAGAGAGGAACACAGTCTAGCATGGGTGTGGAGGCAAAGACCAGGCCTCAGCAAACCTGGAGCAGGCCTCAGAGGACTGAATCACAGGCAGCTGTGGCAGTTTCCAGATTTCTCAACCCACAAATGCCAAAGACAACTTAGAAGGTCAGTAGGAAAAGTCTGTGACCTCAGTGAGAGCTTCTGGCCCACAGACTGAGGGGAAATCAAGTGGCTGATCAGAGCGGGATTGCAGGGATCTCTTTGCTGGTATTGAGGCAGGATTCTCTTGCTTTGCCCATGTTTGGATCTGCGTCACAGCTCAGGGTGGTTGTCCTGGGGGCAAGGAGGAGCACTGGCGTGGTGTAGCTTGTAGTGGCTGTGAAAAAAAAACCCTCCTTACAGTTCCAGGACAGAAAGGAGTGCTTGTCGTCACTCATAGACCAGAGCACAGGCCAGGAAAGGAGTAAACACCTCACCCCTTATCATACCACCTTAGAAGAACGGAAAACTTACAGGTCCCTAGAAGTATCTCCGAAAACAGCTGCACAAAACCCCCGAAGCATGGGACATTACATTCTCCACACTGGAAGCAGACTCTTATCTTAACAAAGAGTTTAAAACTCAAGTAATTGGCCGGGATCATGAGCAAGCAGTGCAAAAAGAGTCAGACTATATTATCTTACTTTGGTGACAAAGAAGATTAAAATATACAACCAGAAGAAAACGACAAAGTCAAAGCTCCTACATCCAAAGCCTCCAAGAAAAATATGAATCAATTCCAGGCCATGGAAGAGCTCAAAAAGGATTTTGAGAAGCAAGTAAGAGAAGTAGAGGAAAAACTGGGAAGAGAAATGAGAGTGATGCAAGAAAATCACGAAAAACAAGTCAACAGCTTGCTAAAGCAGACCCCCAAAAATACTGAAGAAAATAAATAGCCTAACCCAAATGGCAAAAGAGGTCCAAAAAGCCAATGAAGAGAAGAATGCCTTAAAAAGCAGAACTGGCCAAATGGAAAAGGAAGTCCATCAGCTCACTGAAAAAAAATACTCCCTTAAAAATTAGAATGGAGCAAATGGAAGCTAGTGACTTTATGAGAAATCAAGATGCTTTAAAACAAAACCAAAAGACTGAAAAAATAGAAAACATTTCCAAATAACTCACTAGAAAAACAACTGAGCTGGAAAACAGATCCAGGAGAGGTAATTTAAAAATTACTGGACTATCTGAAAGCCATGATCAAAAAAAGAGCCCCAGACATCATCTTTCAAGAAATCATCAAGGAAAACTGCCCTGATATTTTAGAACCAGAGGGCAAAATAAAAATGGAAAGAAACCACAGATCTCCTCCTGAGATTCCCAAAGAAAAACTCCTAGGAATATTGTAGCCAAATTCCAGAGTTCCCAAGTCAAGCAGAAAATATTACAAGAACCCAGAAAGAAACATTTCAAGCATTGTGGAAACACAATCAGGGTAACACAAGATTTAACAGCTTCTACATTAAGGGACCAGAGTGCTTGGAATATAATAATCTGGAGATCCAAAGAGACAGGATTACAATCAAGAATCACCCACCCAGCAAAACTGAGTATAATCCTTCAGGGGAAAAAAATGGTCATTCAGTGAAATAGAGGACTTTCAAACATTCTTTTTTTTTTTTCATTTTAAGACAACTGAGATTAAGCGACTTGCCTAGGGTCACACAGCTAGTAAGTGTCAAGTGTTTGAGCTCAGGTCCTCGCGACTCCAAGGCCAGTGCTCTATCCACTGCGCCACCTAGCTGCCACTCAAGCATTCTTGATGAAAAGACCAGAGCTGAATAGAAAATTCAACTTTAAAATACAAGACTCAAGAGAAACATGAAGAGGTAAACAGGACAGACAAATCATAAGGGACTTATTAAGGTTGAACTGTTTATGATTCCTGCATGGAAAGATGATATTTGTAACTCATGAGACCAAAAACAGACAAGAAGAGGTTTTTACACTGGAGGAGAAGTGGAGGAAGGTGAGAAGGAATGAGTAAATCTTATTCTCATTGGATTTGGTTTAAGGAGGACATAACATACACACTCAATTCGGTATGGAAATCTATCTTATCCTATAGGAAAATAGGGTGGGAAGGGGATAAGAGAGCAGGAGGATGACAGAGCGGAGGGCAGACTGGGGGAAAGGGTAATTAGAAGCAAACACTTCTAAGGAGGAACAGAGTCAAAAGAGAGAATAGAATAAATGGGGGGGGCAGAATAGGATAAAAGGAAATACAGTTAGTTTTCTACAATATGACTACTACAGAAATGTTTTGCATGACTACACACGTATAACCCGTATCAAGTTGCTTGCCTTCTCAATGAGGGTGGGTGGGAAGGGAGAAAATCTGGAACTCAAAGTTTTAAAAACAAATGTTAAAAATTGTTTTCACATGCAAGTGGGAAATAAGATACACAGGCAATGAGGTACACAAATCTATCTGGCCCTACAGGAAAATAGAAGAGGAAGGGGATGACAGAAGTGGGGAAGATAGAAGGGAGGGCAGATTAGGGGAAGGGGTATACAGAATGCATGCCATCTTGGGGTGGGGTGGGGGGATGAAATGGGGAGAAAATTTGGAACTCACAATCTTGTGGAAGTGAATGTTGAAAACTAAAAATAAATTAACAAATACAAAAACAAAGGGGCAGGAAGAGGCTGTCAGGTAACTTGCATTCCCTTTGGACAGGATGCAAACATGGGAGAACTGTCTCACAGTAAGGCACCTGACAAAATCTCTCCAGTTCACCAGCGTGGACATCACGTGGGCCTGACAATACAGTCTGACAAATTCAGAACTGGGTGAATGAGCAGGCACCAAGCGTGGAGCTGAATGGATCAACGTCAGCCAGACCAGGGCTTCCCGACCCTTTGTGTGTCACAGATCAGGTCCCCAACCCCCTCGTCGGGGGAGGTTTACAGACCCCTTCTCAGAAAAGTGTTCTCAAGAACAAAGGATGGCAAAGGAAAGTAGTGATGTCATCAAAGGGTGGGGGTGCCGCTGATGACACGTCCACAGAGCACTTTCAGGTCTGCAAAGTGCTTTACAGATCCACTGAGGCAGATGGGGTTGAAGAGACTGGCCCAGAAGGGGCCACATAGCCACTAAGTGTCTGAGGCCAGATGGGAGCTCAGGTCTGACCCAGGTCAGACCTCTAGCCATGGACCACCTATATATGATACCGAGATCCAGTTATGAAATAATTTCCAAAAGACAAGTTCGCTGACCCCAGGCTGAGAACCCCAGTCCCAGAGGGAGGTCTCTAGTGCAGCACCCCAGGCTCAAGAGCTTCCGGCACAGCCGTCATGCATACAGGCCTTGATGCTCAGCAACTCTTTGGGAGACCCAAAGCTGGGAGAGGACAAACCTTGGCACAAGAGGACCCAGACTGACCAAAGCTTCAGCAGCCCAGCACAACAGGCCAGAGCAAGTCAGATGAAAGTAAATCAGAAGAAACGTAAAGTTGTAAAACCAAAGCTGGTTTGCTGCTTTCGTTGTCGTTGTTTGAAGGACCACTTGAGGGAGAGCAGCAACTCGTGAAAAAAGGCTGGGGGTGTCAGTGGACCACAAGCCCAACACTGGCTCATGACAGCCAGAAAAAAGCTGTTCTGCCCATCCATTCTTGGGTTTCAGCCGGTGTTCTGTTTGCTCTGAGTTTCCTAGAAAAGTTATTCTAGAAGAACTAACTTTGTGTGGAGCACATCATGGCACGTGAGGCTGGCAGGGGCCTCAGGGGTCATCTGGTCCATCCCACCCATGAAAAGGATCCCTCCTCTAACATTCCCAGCAAGGCACCATCAGACCCTCCCTGAGGACCCAGAAGGGAGGGAGAAGCCGTCCCCCTGAAGCCAGCTCCTGCCCCTTTGGAGCAGTCCCCATTTTTAGGAAGTGTTGCCTAACAAGGAAGCCTCAGCTGGCCTCTCTGCAGCGCTCCCCTCTCCATGGCCTTCCTAAAGTATGGTGCCCAAAACACAACCCAAGATAGGGTTTGCCAAGGGCAGAGGACAGTGACAGGCACCTCCTTATTCCTAGAAGCTCTGCACCTCTGAATTTAAAGGGTGCCTCTGGGGGTGGGTAGCGAAGAGATCCATGGATCCCTAGAGATCACCAGACCCACCTGACTCTGAAGGAGGACCCCCACCCCAACTTCCATGGCCAGTGGTCATCCAGCCTCTATATAAAGGTCTTACAGGAGGGGGACCCAATCAGAAGGCCTGTAGGTCAGGGAAGTGCATGCACGTGATGGGGGCTGAGGCACAGAGGAGATCAGGGTCAAGATGGACTGCTGACCTGCTGGACCATGGCCCCTCCCACCAGCCTACCCCTGAGCCCTCAGGGCCTGCTGCCCTGGGCAGCTCCCAGCCCTAACCCTCTGTCCTCCTCACCTCTCTCCTCCAGCATGAGGTCCAAGGCCTCCATGGTCCCCTGGGCTCAGGGCTTCCTTGCTGATGTCCTGGCTTCCCTGTCCAGTGGGCTTGGCATCACTGGAGCATCAGCATCCCCAGACTTCCTGCTTCTCATCCCCCCGGGCCCTGGAGCTGCAGGGGAAAGTGTCAGGGCAGGTCAGTGCACCAGGGGCAGGGCATCCATGCAGGACAGGGGCACGTGACATTGGGGCAACTCCCCCAGCGGCGTCCCAGCTTCAGCTTGCAAAGAGGAGGGGCCGTGGCTGGAGATTAGTGGGTCTGGGGACAGGGCATGCCTGGGGCACTGCGTGGGGTGACCCACAAGAGGGGGTGCAGGAGGTTGGAGGGCAGGATGGGGATTCAGCCAGCACACACACACACACACACACACACACACACACTCCCGACCTCTCAGCGCGCCCCACCCCAACCTCTTGCCTCTCACTCGCGTGAGCAAACACAGGGACCCACAACAATACACACAAAAACGCACGCATGTGTGCGTGCGTGATATTCAGTTCGGGGCGCTCCCCGCCTTTTCTTTTTCCCACCCCCACGCGCGCACGTGACTCCCCGCACTCCGTTGTGTCAGGCTGTATCCCATGCATGCCGGTGGCTGTAAGAGGCTCTCCCACTCCCGCACTCACCCAGTCCTGCTTCCCCAGGCTGCAGAAGCAATCGGGGACCAAAAAAGCCGTGGTTCACTGAGGAACTGCGCCTGCGCACAAGGCTTCTGGGGGAATTACAGCTCCCCCCCTCCCCCACCTACTCAGGGGCAGGAAGGTCTACACGCACTACGTGACGAAGGAACAATGGGCTGGCCTTCGGGAGGGATTCTGGGAAATGGAGTCCCTGGGGCGTGACGAGTCACTAGCCTCACCTCATCCCAATGTTTTCAGCGCGGCCTTGGGGCCGATGGTCGATGGTTGCAGGCCGGCTAACGGAGGAGGCGTGGGCCTGCCTGCTTGCTGTCCCCGCCAGGGAGACGTTTTTACGCTATCACTGTCGCCTTCTCCTCTGAAGCACAGCCCAGCACGGGAGAGCCACACACACACACACACACACACACACACACAACCCACCTCACCCCGACCCCCGCCTCCTCTCGATGGCTCCTGATTGGCTGGGTTGCCTTTGGACCTTCCTGCCACGTACGGGGACGCTCGCTCCTGATTGGCTCTCTGGCTTGCCCATTTTTAACTTTAATCTGAGACCCTGGTCCTTTTATTTGTTTTGCAAATGACAGTTTTTCTAGGGAAAATTCCTGGGAAGCCGTCTTTATTCTGAAATTAGCCATTTTTAAAAAATGGTTGTAACCAGACAACTAGGTAGCGCAGTGAACCTGAAGTCAGGAAGACCTAAGTTTAAATGTGACCTCATACAGTAGCTATGTGAACCTTGGAAAGTCCCTTAACCTGTGCTTGCCTCAATTTCCCCAATTGTAAAAGGAGGATAATAGCATCTATCTGCCAGGGATGTTGTAAGGATAAATGAGATCACATGCCAGTCAGTAAAAGAAATAAAGTGTCTATTAAGCATTTACCCTGTTGCAGGCACTGTGCTAAGTGCTGGGAAAAGAAAGGGCAAAAACATTCCCGACTCTGGGGGAGCTCCCAGTCTAACGGAGAAGACGTGCAAAAATCATATAAACAGGATAAATTAGAGGTGATCGAAAGAAGAAAGGCATTAGCTTTAAAGTGCTATACATAGCTGCCATCTATCAGGTAGGGTATGTTAATTAAATGCAGCCTTGTTGACTGTAGTGGTGCACAGCATTGACATTGATTGTTGATTGCTGTCACATGTGGTTCAATGTTAAAAAGATGGGAACTACAGCACTTGAGTCCTGTTATTATGAACAGAGCCCTCCTAATAGGAATAGATCTAGACCTTAAGAATAAGGACATTAAAGGAAATTAAACATGTGTGAAAAGCATGGGAGTATGTATAATTAAGGCAGTTGTAGTTCTTCCTTCCTTTTCCAAGAGGACCAAGGACACCACTGGAGATGTCTGGCTTGGAGAGTGAATTGGCTTTAAGTGAAACCAAGTTACACAGAGTCCTGAGCCTGCTAATGTTCAGGCAGATGAGAAAACTGGGGAAGTTTTTCTAGTCCTACCTGGAAATTTTGACTATGAAGATACGTCTGAAATGTTGACAGTAGCAAGGTGTATCTGGGAATTTTATATTAGTGTGGAAGCATATTTTAAATTTTTTTTTAGTAAAACTGAAAACGTTAATAAACACTATTTTTTTCTGATCTATAAACACTTTCCAGACTTTCTTGTAGGAAGGTGGGTTTGTTGAAAGACAAAAGGCCTTTTATAGAGAAATGGATCGAGATTAGTAAGTAAAATTTACAACCGAGAATTCTTAGTTCTTGTTCTCTTGTCTTTAAATCATCATTCTTGTAAGTGGTTGTGATATTGACCCATCAAAAGTAGTGTCCTCTTCGTTCATCCTCAGAAGGGTCTCCGTTCTGAATTAAGAAAGGATAAACGTCTTGGTTCTAGTAGGAAGAAGTCCCCTGCCTTTAGGGCAGGAGAAAACTTGAGAAGAGTGGTCGAGGAAGGGACTGCGTAGGAAGTGTTGTATTGGAATGACAACCTCCACTCATATTTAACATATTGGGATCTTTCCCCTGTTCAAGATTCCTATAAATGTTACTTTAATTTGGGGTAGAGAAAGAAGTCCGGGGGCGCGGGGACACGGTCGGTTAGGACGTGGTAAAGCAGAAAGGTCTCTGCTATTGATGCTTACATGAAATGCCAGGGGGAAGGCCTGTACCTAAAAACAGCGCGCAGACTGAAGGTGTTTTCCCTTCGAGCCACCCAAAGCAAAGCAGGCATCCCGACCGAGAGTCGGCTCCAGGGGACGCCGCTGCCCTTCTCTGCAGGGCCTGGGCGGGATGCCCCGGGGCACACAAGGCCGGAGGTGCCGGTCGTCCGGGAGCACGGCCCTGGAAACCGAGTCTGGGCCGGACAGCGCTGGAGGAGCAGAGCGCAGGAGAGCCCCAGCGGAGCCCGAGGCGTCCGGCCGCTGCCCCACAGCTGCCAGGGAAACACTCTGGGAGGAGGTGAGAGGAGAGACTCCGAACACCCCAGGGACTCCATTTCCCAGAATGCCATGCAAGGGAAGACACACACACACACACACACACACACACACACACACACACACACACACACACACACACACACACACACACACACACACACACACACACGGTTACCAGATCACGTGGTTCGCCAAGCTCTTCCTGTTTTGGGGGCCCGAAGGACTGTGGGAACTGTAGTTCGGGCACCCTGTGCGCAGGCGCAGTTCTCCGTGGAGCCCAGGACTTTTCGGTCCTTAATTGATTGTGGAGCGGGGGAGGGGGGGCGAGGCTGGTGAATGGGGGAGTACGCGTGGGGGAGGGGCGGGGAAGAAAGAACCTACTACAGCCACGAACACGCGCAGGTTATGGCCTGACAGAACAGACTGGGGGGACCCATGCGTGCGCGCGCGCGCGTGAGGGTGGGAGAAAGAAAAATCGGGGAGCCCCCTGCATTGGACTGCACGCACGCATGTGTGCATTTTTATTTGTGTGTATTGTTGTGTGTCCGTGTGTTTGCTCACGCGAGTGAGAGGCAAGGGGTTGGGGTGGGGCGCGCTGAGAGGTCAGGGTGTGTGTGTGTGTGTGTGTGTGTGTGTGTGTGTGTGTGTGTGTGTGTGTGTGTGTGTGTGTGCTGGCTGAATCCCCATCCTGCCCTCCAACCTCCTGCACCCCCTCTTGTGGGTCACCCCACGCAGTGCCCCAGGCATGCCCTGTCCCCAGACCCACTAATCTCCAGCCACGGCCCCTCCTCTTTGCAAGCTGAAGCTGGGACGCCGCTGGGGGAGTTGCCCCAATGTCACGTGCCCCTGTCCTGCATGGATGCCCTGCCCCTGGTGCACTGACCTGCCCTGACACTTTCCCCTGCAGCTCCAGGGCCCGGGGGGATGAGAAGCAGGAAGTCTGGGGATGCTGATGCTCCAGTGATGCCAAGCCCACTGGACAGGGAAGCCAGGACATCAGCAAGGAAGCCCTGAGCCCAGGGGACCATGGAGGCCTTGGACCTCATGCTGGAGGAGAGAGGTGAGGAGGACAGAGGGTTAGGGCTGGGAGCTGCCCAGGGCAGCAGGCCCTGAGGGCTCAGGGGTAGGCTGGTGGGAGGGGCCATGGTCCAGCAGGTCAGCAGTCCATCTTGACCCTGATCTCCTCTGTGCCTCAGCCCCCATCACGTGCATGCACTTCCCTGACCTACAGGCCTTCTGATTGGGTCCCCCTCCTGTAAGACCTTTATATAGAGGCTGGATGACCACTGGCCATGGAAGTTGGGGTGGGGGTCCTCCTTCAGAGTCAGGTGGGTCTGGTGATCTCTAGGGATCCATGGATCTCTTCGCTACCCACCCCCAGAGGCACCCTTTAAATTCAGAGGTGCAGAGCTTCTAGGAATAAGGAGGTGCCTGTCACTGTCCTCTGCCCTTGGCAAACCCTATCTTGGGTTGTGTTTTGGGCACCATACTTTAGGAAGGCCATGGAGAGGGGGAGCGCTGCAGAGAGGCCAGCTGAGGCTTCCTTGTTAGGCAACACTTCCTAAAAATGGGGACTGCTCCAAAGGGGCAGGAGCTGGCTTCAGGGGGACGGCTTCTCCCTCCCTTCTGGGTCCTCAGGGAGGGTCTGATGGTGCCTTGCTGGGAATGTTAGAGGAGGGATCCTTTTCATGGGTGGGATGGACCAGATGACCCCTGAGGCCCCTGCCAGCCTCACGTGCCATGATGTGCTCCACACAAAGTTAGTTCTTCTAGAATAACTTTTCTAGGAAACTCAGAGCAAACAGAACACCGGCTGAAACCCAAGAATGGATGGGCAGAACAGCTTTTTTCTGGCTGTCATGAGCCAGTGTTGGGCTTGTGGTCCACTGACACCCCCAGCCTTTTTTCACGAGTTGCTGCTCTCCCTCAAGTGGTCCTTCAAACAACGACAACGAAAGCAGCAAACCAGCTTTGGTTTTACAACTTTACGTTTCTTCTGATTTACTTTCATCTGACTTGCTCTGGCCTGTTGTGCTGGGCTGCTGAAGCTTTGGTCAGTCTGGGTCCTCTTGTGCCAAGGTTTGTCCTCTCCCAGCTTTGGGTCTCCCAAAGAGTTGCTGAGCATCAAGGCCTGTATGCATGACGGCTGTGCCGGAAGCTCTTGAGCCTGGGGTGCTGCACTAGAGACCTCCCTCTGGGACTGGGGTTCTCAGCCTGGGGTCAGCGAACTTGTCTTTTGGAAATTATTTCATAACTGGATCTCGGTATCATATATAGGTGGTCCATGGCTAGAGGTCTGACCTGGGTCAGACCTGAGCTCCCATCTGGCCTCAGACACTTAGTGGCTATGTGGCCCCTTCTGGGCCAGTCTCTTCAACCCCATCTGCCTCAGTGGATCTGTAAAGCACTTTGCAGACCTGAAAGTGCTCTGTGGACGTGTCATCAGCGGCACCCCCATCCTTTGATGACATCACTACTTTCCTTTGCCATCCTTTGTTCTTGAGAACACTTTTCTGAGAAGGGGTCTGTAAACCTCCCCCGACGAGGGGGTTGGGGACCTGATCTGTGACACACAAAGGGTCGGGAAGCCCTGGTCTGGCTGACGTTGATCCATTCAGCTCCACGCTTGGTGCCTGCTCATTCACCCAGTTCTGAATTTGTCAGACTGTATTGTCAGGCCCACGTGATGTCCACGCTGGTGAACTGGAGAGATTTTGTCAGGTGCCTTACTGTGAGACAGTTCTGTGTTTGCAGCGTTACCCTTCTCTATCTGTTGAGTAATCCCATAGAAAGGGAGTAAAAGTTACTCTGGCCTGACAGCCCCATCTCAGGGTTAGAAGGAAGCCAGCCTGACCCCCTCTTTAGATGGTGATCCCTTCCAGGATACTGCTGAGAAGTGATGAGTCCACCCTATTTCAGTTGTGGTGTCTCTGAGGGCCACCTCTTGTTCTGGACATGGAGTCCACTTTGGCCTCTGTGCCCCTTCCAGGTGGGTGTTGTTTTCCTTCTGCCTTCTGGGGCCAGCAGACCAGCCT